ATACTGTCTTCCATAGTGGCTGCACCAGTCTGCATTCCCACCAGCAGTGCACAAGTGTTCCCAAAAGGCCAGATTTTTAATCAAGTAAGTCTTTTCTTGGTGAAAGCACCTGAAATTATAGAAAAATGGTCCATCCTTTTTGATCAAATAAATGCAAAAATAAAGCAATAATCTCCACAATTAAATTGGCCATATAAAACAATTATCAACAGGATTGGCAAATCCTCCTCTGGGGTCATGTGTGAAATGCTTCAACTTTTCTTGAGGGAAAACTGGCAATGTCCTTTACACTTGTCATACCCTTTAGGATAGAAATGCCATGTCAATGAAATGATATCCACATTATAAATATAAGAAACTTCATTGCAGAATTTTTACAAAATGAAAAAATTACAAAAACCTCTATCTATAATAATAAAAGCATAATATGCAAATTGACTGAACGACCAAACAGCAGAAAGACCATCTAGACGACCTTCTGGACGACCACACTATGACACACACTGGTGCCAGGCCAGCCAAGGCGGGTGTGATGCAATTGGGATGGGGGGGCGCCATTGCCCCACAATCATCCCACAGAGGGAGGCCCAGACCAGCCTCTCCAGGGAAATCAATGAGGGTAAGGGGGGTTCTGTGATCAATCGCCCCAAAGAGGGAGGCCCAGGCTACCCTCTGCACGGGATTCAATCGTGGAGCTGGAGCTGGGTGGGGTGATCGATCTGGGGGCTCTGTGATCGATTGCCCCACAGAGGGAGGCCCAGGCCACCAGCCAGCGATGCTGTGTCAGGTGTGCGGGGCCATCCAGCGATCGCTCAGCAGAGGGGGGCCCAGGCCAGCCAAGCGATTGCACCTCATGCCTTTTGCCCACTGAAGGGGGCAACCAGTGGCAGGGAAGGAGGCAATGCCACACAGATAGCAAGCAGTGGCAGCGGCAGTTGCACGAAATTTTATGCACCAGGCCTCTAGTGTCTAATAATTTGGAATTAGTTAAATTATAGTGTATCCATAAGATGATAATTGGGAGACTATTTAATAAACTGGAAAAATTTCATAACAACTGAAAAATAATATCCAATTTTGGTCTTAAAAATACTTTATATATATTAAAAAGCATCTGAAAATTCCAGAAATCTGTTAATAAAAATAGTAATCAAAGATGGTTCTCTCTGAATGGTAAAGGGTGAATTTAATTGTATTTTTTACTTATCTGTCGTTTTCATATTTTCCTTAATGAACATGTATTACTTCACAAACCAGAAAAACATAAAAGTGTTCTTTTAATAACTAAGGAAAGAGGTTATATGGGTAAAGGTCAGTGTTTCCCCACTGCTCACAGTATAAACGTCAGATTCCCTTACATGACCCCTGCCCCCTCCCCCTACAGCTCTGGTCTTGTCTATCAGTATGTTCCCACCAACGTCTTTAGCATTAACCATACAGGCCTCCAGGTCTTTTGCCATTTGCCTTTTATCACAAAAACTTCAGACAGTAGATTGTATTATCTTTGCCAATATTCATCCCCACCCCTTCTTGTAAGAGGATTATGTCCCAGCTACTGCCATATACCTTGCCATGTCCCCAGTGTTGAGAACCATACATCCCTGTCCCATTAACTTTGGACTTTGGCCTTGGTCTCTACTACTCAGGCCTCAGTGGCCCCTTCTTTTGGATTTGGAGACTGTTAAAGAGTTCACTGTCATTAAAAGGAATGTAAGCAGTCACAACAAGGCTATATCGAAGCAGAATTTTTGAAACTCATGGCAAGCTTCCACCAATGTTCTTGACCTTTCTGTCTGCTACCAGAATGGCATGTCTCACATAGGGGCTCAGTTTGAGCCTCTGAATGAGAAGCAGAGTCACAGCCCAAGCAGAGCTGTGGTCAACCCACAGCCTACCCGCGCACTCCGCACCTCAGAATTTGCCTTCAGCACTGCGCCTCCTCTGAGTGTCCGAATGCGTTACTCTTTCCTCCTAGTTGTAGGACTTCCACTCAGCCACCGTTCCTGTGGTTCTGGATGATGTCCCTTCCGTCTTTTAGTTTCACTTTTGAAATGGTTGTTTGAGGCGGCAAACTCCGGCGTTAACCTATGCCGCCATCTTGGTTCCTCCTGGATTTGGAGACTGTTAAAGAGTTCACTGTCATTAAAAGGAATGTAAGCAGTCACAACAAGGCTATATCGAAGCAGAAGCTTTCCGAATCATGGCAAGCTTCCACCAATGTTCTTGACCTTTCTGTCTGCTACCAGAATGGCATGTCTCACATAGGGGCTCAGTTTGAGCCTCTGAATGAGAAGCAGAGTCACAGCCCAAGCAGAGCTGTGGTCAACCCACAGCCTACCTGTGACATAAGTGATTAATGAACCTTCATGATGTAAGTGACCGAAATTCAGAGGTCATTTGTTACTGCAGCAAAACTGACTAATACACATGGCACATGCTCTTTCTTTATCTGGAATATTCTGACAGGCCATCCTCACTCCAGAGGTTTAACTCCATCTTTTCATTCATATCCCAGCTCTGCTCTCACCCCTGGACCAGGTCAAGTTCCTCTTCACACACTTTCTCAGCACAGGTACTACTTCTTCTTAACACTCATTACAATCATAACTTCACAGTTTTTGTGTGATTTTTAAAAATCACTCCCTGGTATGCCAATGGACTGTAAACTCCTTCAGAGCAGGATAGTTGCTATCCATTCATCTGTATCCCCCATACCTGGAAGAGCTGTTGGCACATTGTAATCCTAGTAAAAAAAAAAAAAAAAGTTAAATAAATACGTGAAGGAAAGCATGGATAAACTAATAAAGACCCTTGAACACAGAGCTGAGAAACATAAATCAAATGGAGCAAATATTTGGAAGACATTATTGGTCTTCAGGTGAGAAAACATGAGTCTTTTATAGTGCAAATAAATACACGGTAACCATGTTCAGGATCTCCTGAGTAAAAATATCTAAGCACTATCACTGTTCAAAGCACTTTATACACATATAAAGTGGTATAAGTGCCAGTATCCTATCAGCCTGGTATCAGCCCTGTGATGTGAGTACTATTATTATCTCAGAGGGAAGGTCAGCCCTTTGCCCAAAACCACAAGCTGTGAACTGGTGGAGACAGGACTTGAATACAAATAGTCTGGGACCCACTTGTGTGTTTATAACCTCTGGACTGTGCTGCCATTCATGTGATCTGAAAGCTATGAATACTGGGAAAGTTGTGGAACTTCACTGGCAAGGCAAGAAAAATTTTATGTTTAATTTCCCTATCTTATCACTTGGGATCACCTGAGTTCCTCCTAGGGTGGTGGCTGGCAGCAAGAGAGCATTTCCCCTTGGGCAAACCAAGCACACATTTTCCCATATCACTTTCATTATTTGATTCCTATTCAGTGCCCTCTGCCCAGTTTATTTGTAGAATAATGTCAATAACAATGTCATCAACACCTTTGGGTCTTCTTCATACCTTTGCTGTGCCTATCACAAGTCCCTGCACATATTAGGTGCTTAGTAAATGTGTTTTGAATCAAATGGGTCCTATAGTTCTTGCCTATGATTAAGTCATTGACTTGGGCAGTCATGAGATCTAATCAACTTTATAATAACTCCATTTGAGGGAGCAGGCTGAGAATCTCATTCTAAACTAAGTTTAGAAATAAGGAACCTGAACACAGGTTTCCTTAGCCATGGAGCAAGGAGAGGAACTGATTGTGAGACCTTTGCTCCTGGCTTCTTCTCTGGCCACAGTGGTACTAAGACAGAAAGCCCTGGAAGGGGCTAGCATGGGGAGAATTCACTTTGAGACAGAGGGTGCAGAAGTGGCAACAGTGTGAGGTCTGGGTCTCCGGTGGGAGAAAGGTGGGACTCTAGGACCCACTGTCTTCTCTGGTATGATAAGAAAGAGTTCAGTGACATCATTTCAAGGGCTCCTTAGAGCTGGACTATCTCTGAGGCTAATACTCTGCTCTCTTTCGAAGTTTATTTGGGAGTTAAAGGAAAGAGGAAGATATTGGAGTCAGCTGAGAGCAGGTTAGAAGAGCCAGTAGAAAATAATGGAGAAGAGCTGGTCTTCAGCTGAGTTTTAAAGGCACCAATGTCAGGCTGAGAATAGAGGGGACAGACCTCGTCTAGGGCCGGAGTCCTTGAACCACAGGTGCCAGACCACCCACATCAAATCACCTGGGAAATTTTTTAAATGCTGATTCCTGAGCCTTTCTGGAATCTGGGAGTTTCACATAGAAATCTACATTTTTAATACCCCAGATAATTCCTTTGAATCCTAAAATCTGGAAATGTCTGACCGGAAGAGATAATGCTTACCTGCTAGGGTAGGGAAATAATGTCCCAAATGCTTCTGTTTGGGACCTACACCATTGTCTTATTTCAAGGATAATTTAACTCCTTATCTTTAAGACCACCTGTGTGTTCAGTGGAAGAGCCATCACCTGGGATGACTAAGTGCCCTTTAATAACAGACATACCTGCCTGACCCAGCTTTCCTCACTGATCTCCCAACCCCTCCCAGAGAAAGAAGCGGGCTCTCCTTTCAGCCTCTCTCACCTCCCAGTGGGAATAAAGGTAGCTCCTCATCTGCTGTAAGAAAAGCCGGGCCCCTGAGGGAAGGGTGCGGTATAGTCAAGTCTGGCCTGGACTGAGGTCACCCCGTGAAGCAGCTCAGCTGAATCCCCATCTCCTGACACTTGGCCTTCAAAATCCTACAGTTCTCAGTTAATCACCAGAAAATGGAAACTCCATGTGCCCACAGCTGGGCCAAGTTTCCAAGTTCTGGCTCTAATTAACCCAAGAGCATAAATTGGGGTGGAGTGGGGGGCAGGCCAACCACTCACCAGTTAGCAGCACAGCAGCCTCTCTGGGGTTAGCTCAGGCTTCAGAGCTGGTTAGGCCAGCCCTGCCAGGCAGCCTCAGGAGGTAGAGGAGGAGGAGGGTGGAGATGCAGAGCTTGGAGGAGGAGCCCGAAAGCCTTGGGCAGGGCGGGGCTAAGCAGGCCGGGAGAGGAGGAAATGGGGTGGAGGAATTGTGTGCAGGTCTGTGACATTGAAGGCTGGGCTTCTGAAAGGGCTTGGGGCTGCCTTCTCAGGTCAGAGATGAGAAGGAAGCTCTCACTGGCTGTCCCTCCCCTTTGATGGGATAACTGGAGGCTGTGGCAACCCAGCCTCCCTCCCTAGTGGCCCCACCAGAATAAAACCGCCCAAGGAGTGTTGACTACCCCGGGAAGCTTCGGAGCCTGCACCAAGGAGGAGGAGGTAAGCACCCTGCTTGATGCTGGGATGGGAGGGTGATCTTTTCCCCTGAGCTCTCCTTCCTGCTTGCTGGCCTGGAACAGGGATGCTACTTCAAAGGGAACCTCTGAGGTACCCTGGGTCCTGGGGATGCAGCTGGGTCCACCACCAGCCACAGGCTTCCAGGAACCTCATTCCTCTGTTTATTTGGGGAGCTCTCTGCTCATGATGGAGGGCCCTGTGCGTGCAGTTGACTGGGTTACAATGGTAGCTGTGGATGGTTATGGTGATCACTCTAGTCTACGTGGTCGAGGCTTCTTCCACTCACTGATGAGCAGGCAGCCTCATCCTTTGCTGCCTATAGCTTGGAATGAGTTACCTGTATGGAGGGCCCATAATATGTGAGCATTGGTCATTACATGTGCTATGTCAAGGCCTCTTTCCAAAAACTTACAAAACCATTATGCAGGACTTCGAAAGAAGTACATGTGTGTGAGGAAGAGAGAGAGTGAGACGGAGTTGGGTTTTTGATGATGGTGACTCATGAAAATAGTATTAAAAGCTTACGATTTGCAAAACATGAGGTTGAAATACTATACATCTTGTTGCAAACCCGTGAGGCAAGTGTCAGTATTACGTACAATTACAGGTGAGGATGCTGAGGCTTGGGGAGGTTAGCTGAGCCACTGTTCCCATTGCGCGTTGGGGCACTAATTTAGACTTGGGTGTCTACTTCTCAGGCCTCGGTAGCCCCTTCGTATGGATTTAGAGACTCACTGTGAAAGGCTCACTGTCAGCAGTACGTAACCCACATGGTCTGTGCCATTAAGAATCAGACTATCAGCTGAGCAATGGGGTTAGTCTTTCAAACACTGGAGCCAGCAATGGAGAGGAAAGGGAATGTGTTTGAGAGCTGGATACTGAATCAGTGCACTGTGGCCGCTTAGAATTAAATCCAACCCCAAAATGGTTTACCAGGCCTCCTCTGTCTCCATCCCTCGCCCAGCTTCCAAGCTGGCCTATACCAGGCCCCTCCGTTCATGCTGAGCCATGACCATGAGCTATCTCTGTTCCTCCCCTCTGCTTGGGACACATTCCCAGGGCTTTTCCTGTCTTCAACCAAGTCGCAGCTCAAATGTTGCCTGTTCAAGAGGGCTTCCCAGGCCACAGAATCTAAAATGGACCCCTCAAAACCACTACCAGCCCCGTTATCTTCCCTTGCAGTGTTGGTTAATTTCGTAAAGCTGACGACAATCTGAAGTTCTGGATTCTTGATTGTAACTTAGGGTGGGGACCTTCCATGTCTTCTGCCTGCTGGACACTGCTGGACTCCAGGGTTTAGCAGATTTCCCAAGAATAACAGGGGCTCAGTTAATAGTTGTCAAGGGAAAGAATAATAAAAGGAATCAGGAGAGATCAAGACCACCTGTTTCTCTCCTGTTCATCCAACACCTCCACTCAATCTCCCTTGGAAAGGCAAACATCTTGTTCTAGAAAGTAAAGAGCTACCTGAGTTTTCAAGTATTCGATGGGGGGAATGATTTCATTTTGGGGGTAACATAGGGAACAAGGCTAAATGGCATCAAATGGATTTGGTTTCCTAGTAAATAGCAGGGTATGTATGATAAGGCTGCCTCTGCTGCCTGCGACTCACCCCAGCATGTTCTTCTGGACACCAAACCTGGTCTTGATCTTAGCATGTAGGGTAGTCGCCATGCCTGGGGTACTCACCATGCCAATACGGCCTCAGAAAGCTCGGAGTGCACCCTTCCAGCCCTGCTTTATCAAGCCACTCATTCATATTCTCACCAGGCTGTGCTATTTTGGGTGTCATCCATTTACAGGATAGGAAGAGCCCCATATTTGCAATCAGGGGATCCAATGTGCTTCTATGGGCCCTACCACTCTGCCACTGTGGGCAAGTCCCACTGAGCCTCATCTCACATTTATCCTCAATCAAATAGAAGGCTAACAGCTGACCTGTATGCCTGTGAGACTAGGAGGTGCACCTGTGATAGCAGTCCTCACGGAGTATAGGCGTATGTCATTTCATTGTGCTTTACAGATGTTGCATTTTTTACAAATTGAAGGCAAGACCCTCCACCAGCAAAAAGATTAGGACTCGCTTGATTATGGTACTCGCTTTGTTGTGGGTGTCTAGAATCAAACCCACATCATGCCTGTATTCTTTGTGACAGTGATGTCAACACCAGAGCCATTATCTTTGGCTCACAAGCAGCCAGCCCTGCAAGCAATGGGTGGCAAAGGATACAATTGCAGAAAATTTTGGAGGAAATCCACAATTCCAAAGAAATCTTTCAGAGGAAGAGACTTCTCTGCAGGAATCCTTTTCTCCGGCAGCTACCTTCCTCAAGAATCGACTTAGGCACTGTAATTAACACCCAGTATTCGCTTTGCAGCGAGGAGCAGGAGCAGTAGAACCCAGCCTGGCGATGCTTCTTCCTTGGCAGGCACGCAGCATTTGGCAGTATTTTACAAGCTGGTGGTTTTATGAGTCCCTTCCTGCACTTATGTGCTCTTCATTGTAATGTGTGTGGAGCCTTCCTGGCATCAGCCCTGGCCCTATTTGATTTAAGAGACATCTGATTTTTATTTCTAATCCTCAGGTTGTTCTGTGATTTTTTTTTTAAAGACACCCCTTATCTGTTCTATTCCCTCATGCTATTCTAGATTTTTTATCGCCTTTTATCAAAAATATATTTTGAATCGGGAGCCAAGCGACAGAGTCCTGGTGGTTTTCTGGGGAGGAAGAGTCTCATAAGCAAAGTGGTATTATGGAAAGAGAATCGCATTAAGTGCCTGAAAACATGGGCTTGAGTTCTGGCCATGCTTCACTAACCCT